GCCACTGCCTCCAGGACACAATAGCCCACCCCACGATTCTCCACAGATGCCCCTCGACCACAACAATGTGCCATAGAACGGTCATATGCTTTTTCCTGCGTGATTGTGTGGAAAACTGACCTAGCACCAGAGACTTCAACAAACAGTACCTCCTGCCCAGTCAATGATTACCTGCGGTTGTGTGCTGCGGTTTTAACTAGTACGGAATTGGCTGGTTTTGTACGCATAATACATTTAATGCAGACTTTGCGGTTTGATATAAGTGTTTGATTTTTTTTTTTTGTTATTGAAAATATCTTTTTCATATGTTGTGGATATTTTATTTTCCAGCACAGTGGATTGGATGTGTGTACGCTTTTGTTTTGAACATTTATTTTTCTGAAATTTTAATGGCCACGAAGAGCTACTTTAAACCTAGTTGTGTGGTATCAGAATATTGTTGAATTGTACTGGAAGTTTTTAATTGATTAGGGCTACTCTGGAGTTTAAATGTTGCTTACAGTGGGAACTTTGAGAGTAAGGTCAATAAAAAATACAAATAAACAATTTGAAAAAAGTTTTCTTTTATGAACAAAAAACATCACATGCAATTACTTCTACAGTACAAGTCTCCTGAGCGTAACTTGTACTGAACCCAACACTAGCTTCACAAGTTTCCTGTTATGCTATACTTAACCTATCAAAAACCATTGAAAAAAAAAAAAAAAATTAAATGCACACGTGTGCCAGCAACATTACTGACTAACTAAAGTTGAAAAAGTGAAAAAGCATAATAGGACCCCTTTAAGAGTTTAACATTAAATGCACAAAGTGTATTATGGCTTCAAAGAAGATCCTGTCTGTCTGCTCTTATGTCATACCTAATGTGTGTGAATAACTTTTAAAGTGTCTTGTCCTTCAAACATCATTAGTTAGCATTAATTCTAATCAACATTGATTGGAAGAAATACAATGAAGCAGTCATTCAGCCACAAACAGTACAATGCATTTCCTGTAAACCATTTGGCTGAGCCAAAAGAAGAGAAAAATCACGTTACAATACAGTACATACAAGTAAATTTTTCACATTCACTTAACAGTTCGTTTGGCCAAAAACTAAGTGCCTTTGGTATACGGTGTACTTCACATTCATAATCTAGCGGCTGTTCCCAGCTACTAAGTCGTCATTCCACCAAGCTCAATTAAAATCCAGACACCCATAATCAAAGGCACGTGTTCTGTCTCAAATGTGTAAAGGCTGTGCAATAGCATATGATTGAGAGAAAGCTTTGAGAGCTCTGAGCAATTACAGTACTGGGAGTGCTATAGTTTCATTGGTACTGTATTTTTCCCAAAACCATTGGTTTTGTCCATACTTGCTAATCGTGCGGTCATCTAACTACATGGTCTGGAGTGGCACGGCTCGTGTTTGAGAGTCCAAACGGGTGGAGGAGATAAAGGGGTGGAACAGGGCTGATAATGGCTAAAGGACTGGGTTTAGCTGGTCTGTTGGGCAGCCATGGGACCCATTCCTCTGCTGGACCGATATGATCCCCCTCGTCCTGAAACCCAAATACATCAGAAAATCAATGTGGAGTTAAATATTCTAGTCGCATTCAATTATGTTTTAGGGCCAATTACAATGAGCTCTTTCCACGCTTTTCAAATGGTATTGTTTTCATAAAACACCCATGAAATACGTACATTATGTATCTTATACCACAAGTGTTAAATGCAAACCATCAATCCCAAAACTACAACAACAGATTCATCGGAACAGCTCCATATATCATTATAGCATTTAAATACTCCCACAGCTGGACTGTAGTACAACATGCAACCGTCTGGCTGTTCTTAACTAGACTTTGAAAAAAAACAAGTGAAAGCGAAATTACATTAGAGATAAAAAGCACTGCAAATTTAATGAACTTAAACCATCTTAAGCAGCAATTAGAGCAAATGTCAGTAGCAACATACGTATTCTCAACAGGATTCTCTGAAATAGTCACATGAGAGAGTATTCGGTTTATTTTTTTGTAAAGCCCTCTTATAGCTTTCCTTAAATTATGTACAATCCAACAAATAGCTTCTAATGTCCAGGTCACACAAGATTATTTAGCAGCATATTTTGCCCCAAAATATATCTGTAAAATATACCATGGCAATTTGCCACAATCACCCTATCATTCCAAACCCCTATTTTTTCTTCTAATCACAACAAAAGGAAATATTTTGCCAGATGTTCTTGCACCTCGTTTTTATACAATGAAAGTGTATGAAACCAGTAAGAATCAAAAGTGACCAAAAAATAAACAACAGTTTATACAACTTTTATATTTAGCTTTTAAAGTAAACTGTCTTTTTGTCATGGTCAAAATTTACTTCAATTGTATATATAAAAAAGCAGTGTCAATATGGTAATAAATACAGGTTTGGAACGACATAGAACATTTTTTGGCTTGACAGAAGCAGGAAAAGCAGTGCATTGGCTATGGATTGATTTGGAACAGCATCGTAGATCATGGAGGCAACCTTAGGGCCATTTTGTTGCATTAATGCTTCGCACCTAATTAAAAGAAACTCTTAATCTTGTTGGAAAGCAGGATATAGTACATGACACAAGAGGCAGAAAAGCAAACAGCAGAGTTGCAGAAAAAACGGACCGATAAGTGGACCAATCACCTGCCTCCCCTTGGGAAGACTACAGGAAACAAAGTCAACCTTCAACACTTTAGTAGACAAAGGGTCACAGGACAGGTGAGAGGATAAAAATTAGGTAAATAAATAATTTGACATTTAAAAGGAGATAAAAGATAGACAAACAGAATTTACACTAAGATAAAAATACTAAGATTGTTTTGGTGCACTAGTTGACGCTTTATTAAACATCCTTTCACTGTTCACTGACTGACAGTAACGGCTCATCCACAAATGATATACAACAGGCTTGAACACGATAAACTCAAAAGGTTCACATCCTTTTAAACAAAACAAGCCTGTCAAGGGCCATTCACACAGAATGCGTTATTGCATGTAAAAACGTGGGGCAGTGGAAGAAAAATAAGCCTACGGTCAAAATTTTTTTATTTTTTAAACGTTTTTAGAACACCGCATCATGTGTGAGACACTGCAAAAGCTGCAAGACATGAGCAGAACAATCAAACGTGTCAGTGTAACACTTGTTTACATAGAAAACCAATGGAAAAACAGCATAATGTAATGCAAAAGTGTGTTCTTTGTGAACAGCCCCTTACAAAGCATGAAAAACAAAACAGAAGCAGAATGGAGAGACAAACTCTGAGGGGGTGAGTTTGGAGAGGGTGGGGTAGACAGGTAGAGGCCTACCGCTTGCATGGACTGGAATGGAGCTGCGTTAACGTTGATGCCACTGTGAAGGGGTTTGGAGACAGGCTGAAACACCTGGGGCTGAGAGGAAGGGGTGGGGGTCTGCTCAGACGACAGGGGCATGGAGACCTAGGGTGTATATCCTACATCACTCACATGTCTAAGCCATAGAGTACACACAGCATCTGCGAAACCACTGCGATGTGCGCCGTTACCTGCAGGGGGTCAATGGAGTCTGTCTGTGGTCGGGGTTCAGAGTTATGAGGGGGCTGATAGAGAGGGGGTGTGGAGGAGTAGGCCTCCTTTGGAGCCGAGACCATCGGCACCTGGAAGGCCAAACAGAGTTTTAGGAAAGCCATTTCAGGAAT